TTCTTTGTTTTATCGATTATAATAAAGCATGCGAGGTTTTCTTCTTTAAGAGGGATGCTTTCATGGAGAATATTGCATTTAGTATTCAAGTTACACATGAGAAATTCCGAAAACTGTACGCAGGCAATTCGTCTCCAAACCATTGTGGATCTGACAACAGAATTTTCAGTAGCCCTCAACTCTCAATCTTACTAATGTTTTGAAAGTACTTTTGCAGAGAACTTGTTAATACATGGAATAGATCCAAAGGATTCTTACGGATATACTTTTTAAAGAATTAGAGAAATGACTTTTAACTCGATTCACTCGCTTAACGAGCAACTTTTTACCTCTGAAAAACTAATCTGAAATTTGTACTCAAAATATTCAATAATTGTGCTTTTTACGTCATCATCATTAAATTTCTTTCTGCGAAGGTCCCAATCTTGAGGCTGTCTTCTTGACTTTTAGTCTGCTATCAGCCAATATTTTCGTATGTCAATGCCTCCAATAGTTGACCTCCACAAGAATCATCATTGGCCCATGGGAAATTGTTCTACCCATTCATTCACTGTATAATAGGGAGGAGACGAATCACTATATACATGATTAAGTATAGTTTCATTTCTTTTGGACTAAGTTCTTCTTTAATCAAAAATTTAATCACAGAACGTTGTTTCAAATTTAAACGTTTCAAAATAAGCTAGTACACCACATTTTTTTTTCCAAATTGGCCAGACGCATTACATTATAGCACTCATTTATTTCACTGTGAGGCACTCATTTATTTCTTTGCCTCAGGTTGAAAAAATATGTTGTCACGCCTCTGTGAAATAAATATTTTAACGATGTTGGTGCGCGATGTAATTAAACGTTGGTTTTAGTTTTTATTAATTTATGATGTATATGTAAAAAAATGTATAAGTTTCAGCTGTCGAAGAAAACATCGTAAAATACATTCATTATATATTTATTCATTATTTCAGTACTCTATTTCTACATACCATGTATTACGACTGAAGAAATCTAACGTTTAAAATCATGCCCTTCCAAGTTTTTTTTTTTTTTTTTTTTTTTTTGAGAAGAAATGACACAATGAAAAACGCACACACACACAAAAAAAAAAAAAAAAAAAAAAAAAAAAAAATCCAGATTTAACCTTAATAAAAATGTTAATTATGCCTTATTTCTGATTTAAGAGTGATGAAATTTTAAATACAGTGTTTTTTATTGCATGATGTAATACAGTTTTCTTTGCAACTGTACTTACCTTAAAGTAGAAAGCAAGACACACCTTTAACAAAAAAAGGTAAAGAAAATCGCACGCTGTGAGGTAAGGTCATAGTAGGTTAATTATAACGAGAAAACGTCTGCCCTTGAAGAAGTGGAATTTGCTTCTCTATCTTTGTTTTGCTTTTACAAGTATTACTACTTCACTCTGTTCTCTTTTGCATCTCCATCTAAAATATTCACGAAGAAATTACTTTCCTCATTACATTCTACTTAAATGCAGTAAACTATGTAGAGGTGATTTGGTATTTTCAGTCGAGAATGTCGTCTATTGCAACTCTATGCAGTAGTTTACTATAAAAATGAAAAATTTCAAACCAGTGCATATTTGCCTGTGCAAACCTTGACGTTTTCTGTATTTTATGAGTTTTCCATGTGAATTTTATTTAATATACGCAGTTATTAAATAAGTATTAACACGTATTTAAGTTTTCTACTCTTATTTTATTACCGTACTACATGTAGAAGTACGATTACCCTGATTAACTAGGATCACTGCTCATCCGGGTAATTGGACATTCGGATGGTGGGGTATCTCTCTCTCTCGCTCTTTCCCTCCCTCCCAGACAAAACTTATATATGCTGCTATGTAAGTGAAGGAATTTTATTCCACTTTGTTATCGATATTACCTTTGTCTTTTAGGGTCATAAAAACGCGTTTCATTTTCAGTATTATGTGGATTAAATAAAATGTATTACATTGCGTACATGAAAAGATGGCACTTTTCTTAAGATTTTAAAAACACACGTATACCTCCATCGGCCTCCTAAAAATTCAATGGCTATCAAAGGGCTTCTAAAAAATAAGTGATTGCAGTTACACTGTATATTTCAAGACAAAAATTCTTTGCATAAAACTGAGAATTGGCTTAATATCACCAAACTATTTAATGTATTTTTAAAGAAAAAAATATATTCAACAACTACTAATTAAGGATTCGTCGGGAATTGCCGAACCATAGTGTGACTGTTTCATCTCCGAGAAGGTCGTTGTCCAAAGTATACCACTGGGGGGGGATCGATATTACTTTCGCAAGAATGGGGGATAGACAGTCCCATGCATCTATAGGCGCCTAAATTAAAGGGCGATATTATTTTGTTGAATTAAATAAGGCGAATGTGTGCTGAAATTAATTTAGGAGATTTTTAAAAATTATATACTATAGCTGTGTTTTTTCCTTATAATTTAAATCCTTAAACAAGTTACCAGTTGATGACTTCGAAAGAAACCTACCAATCCGGATAACTGGAGTTTTGGAAAATCGAAATTCGCAAATACCTGAATTTTGATAGACACTTCTTATTGCTAGTGAGCGTGAAATTCAACTTCATTTGGTTCTAGTTTTTTGTATGAGTTCGTGGTAAAAGTGACTCTTCCTTGTCCCCAGACTTATATTAACGCAACAGATCTTCTTCCAGATCATTTGCTCAAATACATAATATCATGTCCTTTTTATAATCCTTAATGGTGATATTTAATTCATCCAGTATGCAGGCTATTCAAATACTCTATATTATCGCACCCATAAGGAAAATAATAGTTGATATAAAGGCATGATGATCTTGTATGCAAAGGCAAGCTAAATAACTGGATTTTAGTGTCTACGAAAACATCATGTTAAAGTACCGTAGACATACGTTACTTTGCGTGCTATACAATGAGCTGTCGCATCATCTTACTGATCGTAAGCTCGGAAAACTTCATCTTCTCTTAGTAGAGTAGATAAATAATTGTCACAGTGTTATCAGAATTTATAATTAGTGAAGAAAATGAGCTCGCGTGAAACTTGAGCGACAGGTCTAACTTTCTAATCAAGTTAAGTTTTTACAAAGGTGCACGATGGTTCTTATCTGAAAGCTCGACATATAATAAATCAAAAAGTAAAACTTTCAGATAGTTTCATGGGAGACTATTAACGTGGCTTAATCGAGAATTGCATTCTTTTGACATCACGTTTTCTGCTTAGATAAATAAACAGAAGAAAATTTGGGGAACGATTTTAGTTTTCGAAAAGAGTGTAATTTTTCGAGATTTTGAAGAAAATTGTTTAGAGCGAGTAGAGGTTATCTTTTGCCGAATTTCTATCTATTGCTATTGCTGTCAGTTTTAATGCTTGCAATTTAAAATATAAATCTAATTGTTTAAAAAATTTCCTTTTATGTTAAAAATTATGGATTTTAAGATATTTTCAGAACTACCAAAATTTGTTTCGAGCCTTCATAAAATCAAGTAGTGGTATTAAAGGTTTTTCACATTAAATAACTTAGAGTGATTCTTTTTAGTGGGATTCACTGGTATGATAAAATATTAACCGATAAATAGTAAAATTTGAGTTAGAGAAAGGCGGAGTATTTTATGATGCAAAAGTTTTTACATATAGTAAATGTCTGAAAGTAATGTGTTAAAATATTATCAAAGAGATTAAAATAATAATAAGCTTTAGCCAGCTTTCTAAAAGATTTTTAAAAGCGAGTTTGAATCTTAAGCCTACATGATCCTGATCAGGATCTAGATCCTGATCAGGATCTAAAAACTTTTGCATCATAAAATACTCCGCCTTTCTCTAACTCAAATTTTACTATTTATCGGTTAATATTTTATCATACCAGTGAATCACACTAAAAAGAATCACTATGGTTCCGTACCGGTAGTCGAAATCGTACAAAATTTTTCTCAAAAGCATGAAATCAAAGCGGCGCATTTTCACGCTTCAGTGCTAATTTTAAGTATCCTGTTATTTGCTGCTTCTTTCTTTTTCATTTTTCTCTTTGGTTAAGTTTTTATTTTTAGTCATCGCCACGCTGCTTGTCGTGCTTGGAAGGATGTGAATCTTGTAGTTATTAAGGCCTTTCAAGTAGTGCAGAAATACTCAGGATCATGTCAAACGAATTAAAGTTGTTTTAGTAACATACCCTGTGGGAATAAAATTTTAAATAAAAAAAAAATGTTTTTCAAAAACATTTAAGACTACAATAAAATATGCTATCTGTCTAATATGATTATTTAATTATGAAGTTCTGTACATTGATCTAAGAATTCGCTGATCAGTAACTAATGTAATAAACTGAAATTCAAAGACTGAAATCCAAAATCTAAAATTGTAAATAAGAAAGAATTTTAAAACTTATAAAGAAACAGTTCCAGCAATTTTAGGGGGGTCTATGACATCATCCGTTATTAAATCCAAATATCCAGAAACGAGCCATAAATAATTGAGGTATTCTGGATATTAGTGGAAAAGTGGAATCATGTAAAGGTATTCCTACTTAAAATACTAAAAAGAATAGTTTCGAAATGTGTATTGTTTATCTATCTTTCTTTAACATTCAAGTCAAAGTCCTCCACGAAGGCTTGCTTTCCCTTAGACAGAAAGCCCTCATGTGCCTTGCCACAATCCGTATAACCTAAGTTAATCCCACATGAGTTCATATGTAATAATTAATTGTATGGTGGGTTTTTTTTGTTTGTTTGTTTATTTGTTTATATACAACTGTTTTAAATGCAGAAATTTCACACGCCACTGAGTTAAGTAAATTTTGGAAACTGCAATTGTTTTACATGGCGGGGAAAAAATTAACATCGTGCAGCAATCTAAGGCACTGTATCATCAATATATCTGTTTGTCTTTTGGTGTCCATTTCTTTTACATGCGTTACGGATTATTTTAGTATTATTTTAATTTAAGCATTCTGTACAAATTATCGGTTCTTAGTATTTTTTCCTCTTCTAGAGTGCAGAAGTTGTGGAACAACTAAACGAGATAGGTCACCTAAGAGAGCTTCTGCGACCATATAAAGTAAGTTTACATTTCTTAAAGCGTATTTTATTGAATACTGAACGGAAGGAATAACATTTTTTTAAAAAATTCAATTTTATTAAATCCTTTTATTAGGAAACATGGTAAAATTTACAGTTGTCGTAAATAAGTGTTTCTGGTGAATGCTGTCCTGCAAGGTATAATTATCTAGCTAAACTGAAGTAGCGATTTAGATGCTATATTTTACCAAATCACGATAAAACTTCTATTTATTTCAATAAAGTTGCCAGATTCCTTAAACTTTGTCAGATTATCAAATTTAAATAGTTGATATACTAATAATGTGGTCTACCTGAAAAACTTTGAGAATTATAAAATAAATATATTTAAATTTTATAAGGTTAAAATTGCTATTCAAAATCTGAAAGTAAATGAGACTTTCTTGAGTACCCTTACTGACTATACAGCCATAAAATATTATGTGAGCACCCATGATTCAGGTCTCAGATGTACTGCCACATGTTTCAAAATTGAACAATAAGTGAGGGAAATACTTATTTTAGGATTTCGTTAAAATTTTGACCATGAAAATGTTAATTCTCTCTTGAATAGTCATTTTACAAAGGCAATAAATTAAACATTTTTGCATTACTGTGGTAAAAAATAAGTTTTACGTTTAATTCATGTGTCTTTCGTTGGTACCTAATTCTTCTTTATGCCATTTGTTTTTTTTTCCTTTATGCCATTTATTATAATTTATTACTTTAAAATTACAAAGCTATTGAACTAAAGTTGTTAAAATCCACTGTTAATTAAATTTCTTTAAAATATGCATTTCTGTGTTGAAAAGTTTTTGAGAACAAACTGGCTTGCTATGTAATACGAGTTTCAAAGTTAACCTATTTAGTTTTAAGCTATTTTATTGAACATTTTTTTTATTAACAATAAACTTTTTTTATTAAACAAAGTAATCTAAATGTTCTTCACATTTTTCTGCAAGAAATTTTTCTTACGATAATAATTTTTACTTAACATATAGATTTTATAAAAAAAAATTTAATTTATAGTATTTTAAAAGTAATTATGGGAGAAATATTTCTTTCAGTTTCTTTCAGGATTTTACATAAAGAAATGGCATCTTTACCCTTGGTGATATACATAAATGAACTCCCATGTAAACATCGGAATCCAGTAGAAAAGATTTCATAATAACTTTATGAAATTTTATCATTTAAAGCACTTTCAAAATTGTATTAGATAAAAGTGGCTAATATCAAAATTGAGCTATCAAATATAGCTTTAAGGTGATTGTACAGTTAATATTACTACAAATAATTTTAATGGAGAAGTAAGTAGGAATATTGGCTTTTGGTGTGATTACTAATAAAATTTAAATATTGTTTACAGAATAATAAATTGCTAAGCGAAAATTTATCTTTCTTTAAGCAAATACAGATATTTATGAAAGTTTTTGTCTCGCAGATGAGTTACTTCAAGCTTCTATACTTCATGCCTAACAAAACATCCAGTTCCACAACGAAGAGCTTAAATGTGCCAAAACAGATAACTTTCTTAGGGTAAAATATTAGTAATGTGCAAAGATTATCATAAGTTCCTTTATTGCAGATATGGATATTTAGAGATAGGAATGTAAATTTAAGATTTAAAATATTGCGTTCATGAAATACAAGACAATTGGTTCAATCCTTATGTTACAAAATTATAGTAAGTGCAAATCTTTACTACTGCCTTCTTCTGTAGCAGTTAAATTAGTTAACCATGCCAGTTTCAAACAATTCATAAGGAGTAAAGGTCTCCCTTTACTCCTTATGAAGTAAAGGTCTCCCTTTACTCCTTACGAAAGAATAGATTTCAGTAATAGATTTCAGTATGCCTTTGAAATATTTCTGTAATCAGGAAAATATGTACAGAAATGTGTTTGGTTCTGATGATATTATAGAATACATCTTTCTAGACGTGAAGGTACCACTGGATAGCAGTAGTGCAAAATTAGATGTATGCTGTTTATTTATGAAATACTTCTACTGTAAACGTAAAAAATGGTTCCTGGTATGGTTATATTTTTTCAGACTAATCCATCAAACACTACAAGAGATAATTTTAACCTGTAGTATTTATCATTTTATCACTTTTTATCATTGGAAAAAATATTGAATTGGCTTTTTAAATGGTTTAAATTTTTAAATTTTAAATGGTCGATATCTCACAATAATATATACAATTCTTAATCCTTTTTTTATTATTATTGTTATTGTTGCTGTTTTTGAACTATATACGCGAAGTAACAATGCAAGACATGTTTATCCTTAATGTATTTGATTTTTGGTCCTAATATTTTATGATTATTTTTACATTTCTAGAGACAATCAGTTGGAGGAGTGTGCCAACAGTGTGGTGGATATCGATATCTATTGTGCCCCGTATGTGGTGGCAGCAAGAAATCAGTGACCCATAGACACCATTTTTCAGAAGATCTTGTTGCTCTTCGTTGCGTGACGTGCGATGAAAGTGGCCTTATCCGTTGCCCTCAGTGCATCAATGGCGAAGGTTGACTTTAACTTTTTCTTCACTCAGTAGCTCAAACTGCAATGATGAAAGACCATAGAGCTACATATGTTTTTCCTCGAATCGACATACTAGTTACAGCTGACCATTCAGCTGAGCCAAAGTATTGAGACTAACAGGGCTTCAATTTACCACGCTGTGCAAGTGTGAGACATAATATGTAGATAGAAAGTGCCTTATATAATTTCCCTATGCTCAACGACTTGAATACTTTGTATGAAAAGTCTTACTAACAAACTTGACAGCTTCTGGTATCTGGCCGGCATTTTACATGCCGATATTGTGTAGATTATGTTTTCACACTTTAAAAGAGTTTTACGTGGGTTACGTGGTTAGAGAACCACTGGTGGGTTCAAAGCTTGTCAATGCGTCAGCTGACCCTCCAATGGCGAACACACACATACACAAACACGTATATGATTTTAATCTAAAGAACTGGATTCGTAAAAACGCTAGGATACATGTATAGTGAATTTTCGAACGATTTTCTATTTTCAGTTCTTTTCAGGAAAATTCGAAATTCTTTTTTTTTTTTTTTTTTTTTGTTTTTGTTTACAATTAATCCTTTGATGACGTTAAACCTTCGCGAACTTTTGAATGTTCAGTATTTATCCAATTGCGGGCATTAACTTTCATGCAGCTTATAGTCTAGTGGGTTGATGTCTAATAATTACGACCTCGTGTAGTAAAAGTACTGGATAGATTTCTAAGAAAATAATCTTAATATTTATAGTTTTAAAACGACAATAGCAAATGCGTTAAATCAATGCTACACTTCAGGTTGCCATGAGCATCTCCATAAAATTTACACGTCACACTTCAAGTACCTCTTTATACTTATTCACGTATACACGGCTTTCCGATCTTCACGATAGCTACTGAAAGTTTTAGCTTTCTTGCCAGAACTGTAAATGAGCCGTTAAATAAAATTATTGACAAGTTAAGACTTTATTAGTTTAAGCAGTTGACAATCAGACCCAAGTACAAGTATTTAAGAGCAGTTTGCAATGGTTATTGCAATTTTGTGCTTTTTGGTATAATATTCTGAACGTCAAAACCTGCATTAACTTAGTCAGCATAACTGTTCAATACTCAAGTCAGGCCCCCAACTTGGAGAAAAGAGTGATAGATCATTATTTCTTTCATCCTCAGCTAAGCAGGAATGCGGAAAAGCCAGTTTCGCAAATGGTCCTCCTTATTGTTTATATTATCTGTATGGAGTAAGTAAAAAAAAAAAAAAAAAAAAAAAAAAAAAAAAAAAGCGGTTTGTATAGCTATTTCAAGTTCAAAATGCATTATTTTCGAATAATGTATTTAATTTTCTTTCTGGGTGATTGTTTGCAATGGCATAAGAGTGGTTTACCTCATTTAGTTAAATTTTCGTGACTGTATCTGTTCTTAATCCTTTTAGTCACAAAATTGTAATGTTTTAAAAAAAATTAAAAGAAATAAGTAAAAAAGAAGAAATAAAAGAAAATTAAAAAATGTGCATGAAAGTAAATGCTATCATGAATAATATATATATTAAGAAATTTTTATTATTGAGTCTGTGATTGTTCCTTAAATTGTTGCTTTTACTGATGAGCTTTCTTCCACATATTAATATCTAAGAGCTTGGAAGTAATTAATAAACTTCTTTTATTATGAGAGTAATGCTTAAAGCCAATTTTTAAACATATTTTTAATTTTTCAATGCACAGAAATATAAAATCGTATTGTATATTTAAATTTTTTATAAAGTTTTAATTTATTTTAGGTCTATATGACTGGAAAAATACTGGAGGACACAATTATGTAAAATAAACTTGCATTTTCTTCTTTATTTAACTGATGTTAAATTTTTATTTTTAAATGATTATTTAAATTAAATTTCAGATGTGCAATGATATTAAATTATTGCTTTATTATATAGTTTTCAAATGCTTATATATTGCACTTCTAATTTTATTTATATCATTTTGAATTATGCGAGTGTGCATATATTACTGATTTGCTTTTGATTAATGTTATTTAATATTTAAATATATGTTAATAGCTGCAAGTAATCGAAAAATTATGCATTATATATATGTACCCATACTTTTAAAATGGTAATGAATAATTAAGCACTTAAAATAAGCGAAGTTGGAGCGAATTCATCACCCCACCGGCTGCTTTTCTGTAATTGTACTTACCGCCATATTTGTTGTGTTAATAAAAAAATTATTTAAACTGTGTGCTTTATTTTAAAGAAAACATACACAACCTATTATAAAACATTTTGATTACTTTTGAGATATCTAGTCATTATTATAAGATAGAGGAACATATATGATTACATTTAAGTTTTAACTATATTATTTTTAATAATTTTTAATTGATCTAAAATTATTTTTAATAATTTTTTTAAATATAAACTACACATAAATGCTTAAATTTAAGTATTATGAACTGATAATTGAACGAGAAATCGAATAAATTGTTCTACCAAACTTTTATATGCTGCATTTCGACCACAAAACGGCCCACCAGTGTTCGAGTGGTTAAAACTACATGATACTGATAATTCGACCCACGTACCCTGGTAGTTCGGTCCGAGGTTCGAATCCCGCGAACGGGCTGGCTGCATGGGCGTTTTCGTGGTTTTCCCCATGTGTAACGTGTATACGAGCCAGTTTCTCTTAGAAAGTCCTCCACGAAGGCATCCCTCCTCTTAGGCAGATAGCCTTCGAGGCTTTGCCATAATCTCACACACACACGATGTCGTTAGACTTTTCATTCTTTTTTCTTTTTATCCGGTCCGGTTCTAAAATTATAAACTGGAGGTTGAAAGATGCTTTAGTTCGTTCTTTAGTTACATAGATTTTCTTTTGACTATCACTGATATTTCATCTCACTCTCGATACGCTTTACTGACACTGTATTTATCACTTCGTTTTGTAAAATATTTTCATATTTTTATTGTTATTTTTATTTTCTTATTTTGCAGATCATGACAGTGCTTTCAAATGAATGAGGAACAGAAAAAAATATTTTACAGCTTAACACAATAAATGTAAAGTTGAAAGGGATATTCAGATGCATAGAATGAAAAAGAGCGAGCTTCCCTAAGAAAATTCTTCACAAAAACATCTTTCTTCTTAAACAGCTAGCCAAAGTTTAATTTGGTTAATCAACTAACTAATTAACCAACATCTAAATTTACCTAAACGAATTTTAAAATATCACATTTTCGAAAATAAGGATTGCAATGTTTTAAGCATTTCCTAAATAACAAGCACCCACCACAAACGAAATAGACAACACTGCTGAACACTATTTCGAGCTGGGTCCGAATCCCATTGAACGGTCTGTCTGCATGGGATTTTTCATAATTTTGCTCCTGTAGTAAAGTGAATTAGAGCTAGTTTCCCTTAGAAAGTCGTGCACAAAGACTTAGGATTTTAAATACCTGACGAAAATAATTGTATGCACTTTCATAAAAATTTTTCATTTTGCTATAATGTTGTTCTAATAAGTTCTTAAAATGTTAGTATATAACTGCTTGCACGAAACAAAACATTTTTATTACATCATTCTTGCCTATAGCTTCAATACAGTACAAATAATATTGGTCAAAATGTGTAAGGATGTGTTTACCTACATTTATTTAAAATAACTATGTATTTTAAAATCTAGTCAAGGCTGTATTAACCCTTAAACAATATAAGCACGTTCTTAGGGCATCGAGGAAAGGAGGTACCTCAAAAATGTCCTTAGGTAGACAGAAAAAGAGGAACCTCAAATTTTTCTATTGCCAGTTTTACCATGGAATGTAACCAAGAGAAAGAAGAAAGTATGAAGGAAAAGCTATAGTGAAGTCCTTAGGGGTCTATAAAGGTCTTAATTCGGCCCTGAATCTAGTGAACATATTTATGCAATTAAACTCGTTATAGTAGGAAGGCGGTTAAAAAATGGCTGCAGTTCTCGCTGTAGATAATAGAAAATGTAAAAAAAAAAAAAAAAAAAGTATGTTATGCAAATCCTGGCTGCCAACATTGAAATCTAAAATTCAGTGTGGTGCGTTTACTTACGCATTGCTATTTGAATGATCGGGGCAATAATTTGTTTAAATGCGACATTCTTTGTATTGGTAACATCTCTTGCTCGTCATGACAAAGAATTTCGTAAAGCTTGTTATTTTAATACTGGAGTTAGCAACAGCTCTTTCGCCACCAGACAGCATACATGGCAGATTTTTTGAAATCAGTAAATACTTACACAATTAGTTCCAATAACGCCAACCAAGCTTTATTTCTAAAATCGTAACTGGCGCAGTTCTGAAAAGAATTAATTTGCTTCAAAACGATTTATTACTTACGTTTTCTACTGAAGTTTTATTACTTAAAAATGTGTAAAAAAGGTTTTTTGAATTAAGTAAAGCTATCGAAATGTCCATCTGAGTTAACACAGCGATAAAAATTACTGCACCTAATTTTCTACAGGTCGCTCTGTATGCTTGCGCTTTTTCAGCAGTTTGAAACCGTTAAATAATTGGCAAGCCTTAATGATGAACAGTATTTGCTTTCATAAAATAAAAATATTTCAGGAAAAAATACATCTTGTATTCGTAAATAATTTTGTGAAACAAAACTGTCTCGATGTAAATAGCCGCGCATTGATACTGAAATGCAAGATTCGCAAAGAAATGCTTGAAAGCAATGCTGAAAAATAAATAAAAATTATAAGCAAATGAACAAGAAACGGATAACATAACAGTCAAATCAGTATTCTCTTTTTGCTTAGGAAGGATGCCTACAAAGAAGGTTTTTCAGTCGGTAATTAACTTATACCTGACACTTTAGGAAAACCACAAGAATCCCATGCAAGCAATCTACTCATTGAGGAAATCTAGTCCAACATGAATTGTAAGTTTTGCCTTCAGCTACTCAGCCATTTCTGAAGTACGGCTTTAATACTTTTAAATTAAATATGAACATCAAAGTACGATACAGAAAGTTATTCAGATATTTTCTTATCACCTGGGCCTCAATTCTAAGCATTCAGTCGCCGCTAATGTAGCAATGCTCCACCCTCTTCGTTACAGTGGTTAGTCTTTCCAGCTGCCTTATCATTGGGTAAGATTCGAATATCAGAGAAGGCATGAGTGTTTATATTTATCTATCAATCTATCCATTCCATTGTGTCCTGAGCAAACGCCTTCCGTGTAGAAACGGCCAAATGACAAATAACTTTCAACATCCCCGACTATGCTTGGCAACTTAGGTCAGACCATCTGAAAGAAAATAATAATGTAACAATGCTGACCAATGGCCGAGTGGCTAAAACCGTGAAACGCTGTTACTCATCCCCGAGTTTTGTGTATGTTTCACGGTCTTCCTCATGTGTAAAGGTTGATTGGTTAATTAGTTGATTGATTATGGCAAAGTTTAAGTCAGCTTTCTGGTATAGGAGAGATGCTTTCGCGGAAAACATGCTGGGGGAAACTGGTTCGTATTAACGTTACGCATGGGGACAATTTGTACAGCACGCACGGCCTTTAGCGGGAAACCAAATATGAACTGAATCAATTATCAGTATTAATGGTTTAATCTATTCGGTCACTGATCAACATCACATGTAAAGCAATTATGAGTTCCCTATATAATCCTCCACGAAGTTTTGGATTCGTTTATTTGATTATGGCAAAGCACACGAGTTCTATCTATCTAAAGGGAGAGATGCCTTCGTAGCTGGCTTTCTAAGAGAAACTGGCTCATATACACGTTATAAAAGGGGAAAACCACGAAAATGACCATGTTTCCAGCCAGTTCGACGAAACTCGAACCCCGGCCCGAACTAACCGTGTTCAGCGACTTTACCGCTCAACCCCTCCTCCACAAAGGCATCTCTCCTTATAAGTGAACAGCCCTAGCGTGCTTCTCCATAATCAAATAATCCGAGTTAATTTTGCATCTGGCTTTAGACAAGTTAACTAGTCACAGCGAGCTAGAGAACATAAATCATAAATAGATATTGTTAACAAACGCGGACTGAATATAACAGAAGAAGCTATCCGTATCCCCTTTTTCAAATAAAAACTTTTTTATCCAACATGTCAGTTCAAGCGATGAATCATACGGTTGGTCACCAGTACTAAAATTTCCAAACAATTTCATTTAAATAAAAACTTAATTGTCATAAAAAGGGCGTCAGAGATACCTTCTGACGGGGAAGCGAAAATATTTTCATCTAGTACTGCCTTTTCCGGAAAACACTGATTCACACAGATAACATGGTCTTGATTTATTAACAAATAAATGCTTCTCTCTTCTAGTTGGGCAATAATAATAATCGTATCCATGCTCCGTCACTAAGACACTATACAAACTGACCCCTGCTGAGAAAAACCCCATATTAGGCAAGGGGTAGGGTCGCCAGCCGTAGTTCCCCAAGAGGGTAAATGTACGCTAATCATGCTACCAGCCCGGGCTTCCAATCCGAGGTGGTAGATTTTAAAAGTTTCTCTATAACCACTGCTACCTCCTGAGCCGCGAGATCACCACTCCCAGTTCTCAGCTTTCACAGTGACGTGCACGCATGGAGATCTGTCTGGCCGGTTAAAGATGCTACCTGTCAGTACTACGTGGACTGCGCTTCACATCAGGGCATTGCTTACCAAACTCGGTGCCGTCCCACACCGAGCTACAGAAACTGTTCTAGGACTTACACCAACCCACCCGACTGGGCCAATGAATTTTCGTCTCAAGGTATATCTTAGCCAAGCAAATGGAACCGCCATGCTAATGATTTTATGCCCCCGTCGCCGAGACTGCCTAAGCATAGATCCTAGCCAGTAACTTCACAGAGTTCTCTGCTTTGAGCCCCGGGAGAGTACTACTTGGGAAAAGAAGACCGAAAGTCTACCGTAGAATTGCTCTTTCAAGTAATAAAATATGAGCAATAGTATTAAATATAGCTTTTCATTGGTTGTATGGTTATTGTCTGCTTTGTAAATTTTGAAGTTTTTGAACATGGGGCGCATTTCGCCTAAAATATCCGCATTACCTGATCGATGGCAAATCTATCAAATAAATACTATTATCTAGATGTAGATATTGGAACTACTTTTCATAGTGTCACATTGAATTCGTTACGCTTATTTTATGTAAAATACTCTGAAATAAAACTTGAACTCGGCGGTGATCTGTAGAGATAGAATAAATGTTGAATGGGAGGTATGAGAGAGAGTCA